CCCCCACGAGCTATAGTTTTCAGACAACGATTGTCGAACACCTGAAGACATCTCAGTTCCGCTGCTCGAATAGGCGAAGCCTCACAGCTATACGACAAAACAGCCCGTACTGTAGCCTCATACGCACGTGGGGGAGAGATGGTTAAAGCGCGAATTTACTGACCGGAAGGTCCATGGTTGGAACCCGACTTCTGCCACTCGACTTCCCCTTTCTAGGCTTGGGCGACCTGGCAGTATCCCAGCTCTCGTCCTCCTTCGTGTGGCATGGCAGCTAGGCACCGAAAGGGTGCTACAGCTGAACGATTTATCTATTATTTTTCTGATACACACGTGCTTTGAGATTTAGAGATGTACAGCTTTGACGCCATGGATATCTCAAATTGGCAAACATGACCTGGGCCTCACAGATTAGTCTATTGACCTCGTCTGTCACACTGCACTCAGAACTAACACAACTTCCAAGGTGCCTAAAACGCTCCGCAACACTTCCAGTGCCTCTCCCTGGGTTGTAAGTGGCGTATTCGGTGACTGCATATCCAGGAGCATGACCTTATACTTTATGAGTGCAAATTGCAAGGACAGGACGCCTTTGGTCAGTTCATCCAAAAATTCGATTTTCTAATTTATCAGCTACAAACAGTGTGCCATAGGCACATTGGTTCCAGCTGCTACAGTTTCGACCGTCCGAAAGCGGGAAATTGGAACATACAACCAAGCCTTGGAGGCGAAGGCTTCAGAAATTGGGTGGCTACGTGTTGAAGGCGATAGCTTTAATGCACGAGCGCCACTGACTGCGCGATTGGGCCATTTCCACCAATGTCATTAACCACTGGTGATTTGAGCCCCGGGGTCCCCATCCAGGTGGGTGGCAGTTGCCCACCTGGCTAAGTTTGCTAGTTAGTGTTCTCGTACTTCGTTGCCAGGTCATAAACTGTCCACCTCTCGCTTCAACTCGGTCATAAACTGTCCACCTCTCGGTTGCTTCAACTCGGCACTGGGCTAGGAGAAGAGCTCTGTGAGGCAGACGATCTCCTCGCATTTGGAGTACATGTCCCAACTAGCGCGTAAGTCATCTATCGCGGGAGAGTTCCTTCTTGAAAAACCCATCTGGCGTACCTCAGCATTAATAGTCCGATGTTCGCACCAGACCTGACCAATGCTGCAGAGACACCGACGATCAAACACTGACATCTTCCGAATGTCCACTGCGCATAGAGGCCACGTCTCTGATCCATAAAGCAGTATGGATCGCACTACCGTAGTGTAAACTCTTTCGTTGACAGACAAGCTCACGTCACATCGGCACCATAAGTGTCGGAGGTCGACAAAAGCTGCCCTGTTCTTCCCGATTCGAGAAATAATCTCCAGCCGGTCCAGCGGAACTCATACAGCTACCCAGGTAAACAAATTTATCTGCCACGTCGATTGGCTCACCTGTAAGAATGAGGTGTGGATTTGATCCCACTCAGTCTTGTAGCAGAACTTTACACTCTGCAGGTGTGAAGCGCATGTTAAACCGTACGGCAGTGTTACTAAGGTTATTTAAAATCGTTTGCATTTGGGAAGGATCTGAAACAAGGAGAACAATATCGTCTGCATAGTCAATGTCTGAGGTAACCTCCCGGGAGCATTTCGAGTCCCGAGGTTTCAGAGACAGGTAAAGAAATTTCAAGCAGCAAATAAATAACATAGTTAAAGAGGAATGGGGAAAAGGACAACCTTGTCTTACACCAATGGACGTGGTGAATTAAGGCGAGAGCTTCCCGTACACTCCTACACACCCACAGGAGCTCGCATACAGTTCCCCCATAATGGAGAGAAACTTGGAGGGGACACTTCTGATGACCAGGCACTGCCAACGTTGCTGACGATCGAGAGAATCAAAAGCAGCCTTCAAATCCAGAAAAAACGGCCAACGTGGAACACCTGAAGGAGTGGCGCTGTTCAGGAATTTGTCTCATGGTAAAAATATGGTCGATGCATCCTCGACCAGGGCAAAACCCAGCTTGATTTTCACAAATCTGCCTCTCCCGATAATCCATCAATATGTGCAGAATAATGCTAGAGAGCACTTTAGATGCGACGGA